GATCTCGCAGTGTGTGGGTTAGAGCCCCGCATCCGGCTCTGTGCTGACGGTTCAGAGCCTGGAACCTGCTTCGGATTCTGCGTCTCCCTCTCTCTCTCCACCCCTCCCCCATTCATGCTCTCTCTCTTTCTCTCCCTCTTTCAAAAATGAATAAACATTTAAAAAATTAATTAAAAAGAAGCACATATATTACTATATCGCAAGTTTGCCTTTTAATATATTGTAACTGTTTCCATAGAACAGGTTTCCTTTGCAAGCCTGTGTATGTTAGTTCATTAGTGTGACCTAGGTCTGTAGGCTTCACGAGATCACCGACGTTGACCAGCAGACAGGCCCACGGCACAGACGAGGACCTTTCATGAGCGCCTCTCTACGCCAAGCAGGTTTCCTTATTTCTTACTGTTTTTCATTTTCAATCACTCTCTTCTTTAAAATGTTTTATTTCTTTTAAGATGTTTATTTGTTTTTGAGAGAGACAGAGCATGAGCAGGGAGGGGCAGAGAGAGAGGGAGAGAGAGAGAGAGAATCCCAAGCAGGCTCTGCCCTGTCAGCGCAGAGCCCAAGATGCGGCTCGATCCCATGAACCCTGAGATCATGACCTGAGCCAAAATCAAGAGTCGGACTCTCATTTGGGGAAGGGGAGGAATGTCTAAGCCATCCAAGTGCCCCCTTTTAATTTTTCTTTTAATTTACATATACTAAATTACAAAAATAATGTAAGCTTATGCTAACAAGTGAAACAAGGCAAAAAGATCCCACAAAAGCAGATGTGGTCACCTCCTCCATGCCCCTCACCTTCTACGCCCTGAAGAAACCCACCACCCCCTTCCCCTTACTTCTACAAACACACGAGGGTGGATTTCTTGCTTGCTTTATACCAAAATAGAATCATTCTACACACATTATTCCATAATTTATATTTGTCACTTGGCAATTGACTCTGTAACACAGACATTCCTACAAGTCTGTGACTACATATTTTTCTAGTTCGTTTATATGCACTTATGTAAAAGCGTATGTGAATGAACTCACATCACGCACGTCACGGCGCTTCGGCACAGCCTTCCCCTCTCGTCTGCCTCCTCACCTCCCTGACTTGTCTCAGTCACCCGTCGCTACGTTACAGGATAACTCAGACCCCAGCAGCCAAAAGCGACCATGCACATTCACCGTCTTGGAGCTTTGGGAGGTCAGAAGTTGGGGAGCCCTCAGCTGGGTGGTTCTCAGTGGAGGGTCTCTCATCAGGTCGCAGTTGGGCGGGGCGGCCATCATCAGAAGGCTCGACTGGGGCTGGGAGCTCTAAGAGCCCACATGGTTGGCAGGAAGGTGCCGGCCAGTCCTGTGTCCCTCACTGCACGGGCCTTTCTAGAAAGCTGCTTTAGCGTCCTCACAACATGGCAGCTGGCTTTTCTCTCAGCAAAAGCAGACAGCATGGTGGAAGCTGCAACGTCTCGTATGAGCTCGCCTTGAAAGTGCTATTCTCCTGGTTACCCGGGTCAGGTCTGCTCACTGTGAGCGGGGGCTGCACCAAGGCATGAACATCGCAGGCGAGGCTGGCCACAGGCCCTCCCCAACATTGACCCTCAACCAGGAGGCCATCCCCCCAGATCACTTGTGTTAACAACCTCGTATATTTTGTTCAAATAGATACGTAAAGTATCTATGCAAGCTACTTAGGGCGCGGGTGTTATCAATGTTAAAAATTTATATTGCATATGTCTTTCATTTATAGGCAGTTAATAAAATTGAAGGTAAGTATTTTTAAATATTTAAAAATAAAGACTCGAGGCCTCTGGTTCAAGATCACGTGAGTAGGAAACGAAGCTGCAGGTACCTGGATCCAGGACCGCTGGCTCACAAAGCCCACGCTCTTCCCGAGATGCCGAGCCACGGTCACCGCGCCGTCTCGCTGCGTCCCCCTTGGTGACGGCCCTGCATCTCCTCACAGGGTGACAGCAATCTCCTGTCACCCATTCCGATTGCGCCTAGAAGACCCAAGTTCCCAAGGCTTCTTTTCTAAGCCCTGCGCTCTGCCCGGAGCCCTTTAGGAAAACCTGACGTTACCCACCCAGCCTCGCCAGTTAAGTTGGGCCTCAGTCCGCCAGATTATTTCTCTTCTTAACTGCACAACAAAATGTCTTCTGTATGTTCTCATTCTTGCGAGCGCCAAGTGTAGTGTAGACAAAGTGCAGTGTAGACTTGCGAGTGTAGACAAAGACTCCAGCGAAGGTATCTGCCGTGTCCGCTGAAGCGGGATGCGAGCCGCGGGAGAACTCGAGGTGGGAGGCTCCGCGTCTCTCACTTCCACTGCCCCCGCTCCCCACTCCGCAAGCTCTTACTTCTAACCTTCCTCACCATCGGCAGGTCCGAAGCGAGCCCAGGTCCCTCAGGGGCCCACCGCGGGTCGAGGTCTCAACAGCGAGGGGATCCCGCTCCTTGCACCGGGCGCTTTGCAAACGCACAGGTGAGACCGGAGGAGCGTGGAGTCCGTCTCTAGACCTGGCCACACACAGCACAGCAGGCCGGGGGTGACAGCGACACAGAGGGAGTGCCGTGGGGCGAGCTCGGAGGACAGGGAAGGTGGTCGGCAGAGCAGGCGCTAGCCGGGTGGCTGGTCACCCGGGACCACAGGTCGCTGGGTCATGCAAAGAAACACGGCATTCTGTTAACTCGCTGAGGTGCGCCGGGACTCCGGAGGAGGGGAAATGCCGTGCGGGGTTCCCCAAACTGAGTGCACCGTGGAATCTTCCTCCCCTTCCCCAAGAAGTATCCTCTATCCCTGGAGCATGGCGTGGGGCCTGCTGAGGCTGGGTAATCTAAGTTTTGTTCTGACCTCGGCAATTTAAAACACACAGCCAACGATGGTTGCACCCTTTGTTTTCTTCTCCTTAGGTCAGTAACGGGATCCGAGAGGTTTTTGGTCTCACCAGAATTCCTTATTTATTTACATTTAGAAAGAAAAAAGGGAGTGTACAACCACCGACAAAGGTTTCACTCTTTTCTTTCTTTCTTTCTTTCTTTCTTTCTTTCTTTCTTTCTTTCTTT